GGTTAATTTTGTAGGTAATTTTGTAGGCAATTAGGCAAATCAAACGGAAATGTCAAATTTTAGGTTAATTTTGTAGGCAAATAAAAATGTTACTAAACCATTGATTTTGTGCCCCCTACAATATATTTTTCTGCGTCCGCCATTGTATCTATATATATATATATATATATATATATATGCATATCTTTTTAGAGGACGAGCGCAGTACGACAGTTGTCGATATGAATCTGTCTCCATTGATTTGTCACAGAAGTAATAATGAAAATGATGAGATCAAAATGGGATTACAATATTTAGTCGTTGATATTGCAATATTGGTGAGAGTGTGGTTTTCAGCCAATAGGTAGACGGAGAAGAAATGGTGATATATAGCCCATACGTCTTTCTATTCCTTTCTCTTAGAGATGGCCAAAATGCCGACCCGATGATCCGTAACCGGTTAACGTTTTCATATAAATTCAAAGTCTGGATTGGGACCGGGATTGACTTGGGAGGTGCGGTTTGGGACTGTTACAATTTTCGTAAAAAATGAAGCCCCAACCCGGGACCGGTTATATATTAGTCACTATATGTGTATATATTAGTCACATGGTGTATGGGGAAGATACCAACTCACAGACGTTCACAATTCTTGCTATAATTCATGATTTCGGCTTCTATTCTTGCAAAAAAAACATATTTGTAAAAAATCGAATTTTAGAAAAAAATACATAGAACCCGTTTGGGCTCGACCTGGACCAGTTCTCATAACCAGTTACAAAGTAACTTAACCGGGTCTCAGGTTTTTTGTCAGAACCGGGATCGGTTATGAGAATAGTGTTTGGGACCGGCTATTTTCACAAAATAAGTTTTCTTAAATTACATATCAAGTTTTTCAAGATTTCTACAAGGTTTAAAGTTTCCAAGTTACTTTTGATTTTTTTTTAAAAGTGTTTCAATAGCAAATTTCAAAAATCATAATTATAAAAAGATGTACGATATTTTTTATAAAAAAATACTTTAGAATATTTTAAAATATATTTGAATGACGCAGTTAGAAATTAAAAAATGTGTTTCAATAAGATATTGTAAAAAAAAGTATCAAACAAGATTTTTTATATGTTCAATATTATTTTTTTGAAAAAAAAAACTTGGAACCGATTTGGGCTTGGCCCGAGACCGGTTATGGTTAAAGGGGATTGGGCCTTGGGTTTTTGGTCTGAGATTGGGCCCATTTGCACTAGGACCGCTTACAAAAAAAGAATTTAGTGACAAGGATCGAGTTGGCCCGATTTTTTACCATCTCTACTTTCTCTCTATTTGATAAGCTTATATTTAAACATGTTTTTATAATAAATCTAGTACATATTGTAATGTTTATATAGCTTATAGAACCYCTTTAATTTAGTTATTGATTGGTCTTTGATAGGTACAAAAAGGATGGATTTTAATACCAACAGAGCATATATTTCGWAACTGTTACAAGGGCAGGCATAGTTTTCTGAAGGAATATGAAGCTGAGCATATTTATGAAATAGGTTCTGGACAAGGCATACGAATTCAAATGGCGTTAAATGGAAGCAT